CGCAGGAAACACACTTCTGTTTAATATTGAACACGAAAAAATCTGCAATAGGTACATTTTTCAAGAACATTTCCCACTAGAGAGCTTTACAAATTTGTAAATAAAAATCGATTAACAAGCACTGTTATTTCATATAAATATCAATCTAAAGAATAGCCATCTATTTCATCTAGCCTTAACCAAATTAATAAATCTGAAAAGGAATATATTGCCATATCTACTCCTACTAAATCATATACACGCTCAAAATCAGACATGGTTGAATTAGTTTTTCCGAGCCCCTCTTCATTGATTTCTACTCTATAAAAATCTCAAATAACTAATTTAATCCAAATGCCTAGCTCAAATTTAAAAAGGAAATATGATTCCATCGAGATAGATATACCTAGAAAATTATATTTAAAACAAAAATTGAAATTAATAACAAAATAACTCATAGTAAAATAACACAGATTATTGCTGGTATTGTTCTTACCACTTTTTCAAAAGCTAAATTAAAAAGTAATGGCGACAAAGCATCACTTTGTCTCAGGCCCGAGTTCACATCAAAACTTTCAGATAATTGATTTCGGAATTTGACTTAACACGCGGTGTTGGAATTATATTCTTTTATTAATTGAATTAATTTTGTAGGTATTAAAAATTCTTTTAAGGTTCTCCATAATTTGTTTCTATTGATGCTTAAGCTACTAGGCTCGTTATTTAGTAGGTTATTTGATAATTCTAATTTCAGGGTCTCTGAGTTTTTCTGTATCCAGTTTTGATTTGCTCTTCATCCTTTTGTTCCATATTCTTAATAGTTTTACTTTAAAACATGCTGTACGAGATAGTGATCTGTGTCCCCATCAGCTCCCCGACAGCTTCTTAATTGTGTTATACAGTATTTATGTCTTCTATTAATTAATATATGGTCGATTTGGCTTTTAAACTTTTCACTTGGGGAGGTTCAGGTATGTTTGTGAATTTCTTTCCGTTGGAACTGAGTGCTGCTAATTATTAGGTATTTTGATGTAGCAAAGCTAATTAATCTTATTTCATTACTATTACTCTCTAGGTGTAGACTTTCCTTTCCCACTGTGCTTTGGAAAACCTCTTCCCGACCGACTTGGGCGTTTAGGTCTCCGACCATGATCGTTATACAATTCCTGAGAAGTTTATCGAAAGTTAATTTTAGTGAGTGATAAAAGTCATCTTTTGTGTTATTTTCAGCCGACTTCGTTGGAGCATAGCAATCAATAAACACGACATACAAAATTTTTCCCGAGATTCGCAAGTAGCAGATTCTATCACTGATTGGTTCGAAATTTTTAACCAAATTTACCATTGAATTTTTTACGATGAATCCAACTCCATTTTCATGTTTTTGATTTTTTGTTCCGCTATAAAAGATTGTAGAGTTCTCTGATTTTAAAATGCCATTTCCTGGCCATCTTATTTCTTGTAAAGCAGTTATCTCTGATCTGTAATTACTAGTTATCTGGATTATATTATGCAGAGTTCCAGGTTTATAAAGGGTTCGTATATTCCATGTTCCAAATCTTAAAACTCCAGGTTAGCCAGGCCAAGTTCCATTTCTTTAATCCAAGTTAATCATCGGGTTCCGAGGCTTGTTAGTGTGAAGTTTCTTAACGTAATTTTTTTTTTTTTTATGATGTTGGGTTGTCATTCCCACGATCAACCTTCTTGCCTTGAAGGAGCAGCTCAGGGCCCCGAGTTTGCTAATCCCGTAGTACTGTATTAAAGTCCCCTTTTTTTTTTTTTGGGGGGGGGGGTGAATAGATATATACAATATATATATTGATATGAATATTGATAATATTATTATATATATATTATATAACTATATAAGTAGTGAGTAATCTACAGTCAAAAATTAAAATAATAAAATAAAATTACAGATTATAATTATTAGTAATTTTTATAGCAATATATTGGCCTGATATTTTAAACCTGAACATTTTATGTATTCTAATTGGTTAATATCCTCTCTTTTATATTTATTTCATGTTTCTTACATAAACTCTTTATTTTTTATTAGCAATAATATCATCCGTATCTGTCATCAGATTTTTACCTCGCACAGGTAAAAATAATTTCACTCGCCCAAATGGTACACATGATAGTCGTCCAAACGGAATATTATTTTTTTGGTCAAAATTATTACCTTCGCCCAAACGACCACCACTTCATACGTTTTGCTAACTTCAAATTGAAAATTCCTTATGCCCCTCACAATTATATGTTAGTAGCTACTAACTAACCTAGGACTAATTTCTTTAGCAACCTCGGTCGAGAATTTCACGTGAACAGATTCGATTCACAAAAATGAATCGATTGACATAAAATATGGGATTAACGATTCGATTTTCACAAAAACGAATTCATCGTTTGAAATATCGGACCATGGAGATCGACTCAAAAAATTGATTCATCGCATGGAAAAGATCCTTATTTTAAATGATAAATTTCAATCGCTCATCCCTAATGCCAAATGCGATGATCAAAATATAATATTAGATAATCATCGATAACTCTTTATAAATACAAATAAAGTACAAATATCTCAATAACAATGTTTTCACTTGAATCGTGATTGATAAATTTATGCCAGCGAGACCAAAATGAAATACGTAAATCTTGACCAGTAGATTGCATCATTTTATTTTTTCGTGTGCATGTTCGAAGAGAATAATGGTTGATTTGGACTGAATTTAGGTAAGGTACTGTAAAATATGTTATGTTCATAATACTTAAATACTAGAAAAATAGACGTCACCATTGCACAATGGAGATCCTATACTTTGGTCATGTTTTCATTTTTATTATTTATTTACCGAAAAGAATCAATTTTTGAGGAATGGCTTAACAATTCAACACCGCAAATAAGTATGAGGGGTACAAGTATGTTAAGAAAAGTTAAAGTCTAAAGAGTTGTCATGTACTCGAAAAACACGTCCAAAAATATGCCAAAACAATATTGTCTATTCGATAGAATAGAGAAAAAGAGAAAGAACAATTGTAATACTGTCAGTGTTCCTACATGGATCGCGCAGAGGGAAATACATTATTTCCGTGTATTATTGCGGTGTTATTCGTTATAGTTCTTGAGTGGTCTGTAAAGAGAGGACATATTTGTACTCCGCACATGTTACACAGACGCGCATGTATGTATATATAAGCAAACATATATAGTATATTTACTACACAATGGACTTGTGGCTTTTCGTAAGTGTGCCGAAACATTCAACCGATTTAGAATTATATGGATAGGTGTGCAGTACTGTAATTTTTCAATATTCTTAAATATGCAAAATTATCCAAAAAGGTTCACTTCGGGTCCATTTTAACTATAGTATGTACGATTGGACCAGCTATCAACTATGTGATCACAATATTTTGCCCAACACGGACGTGTTACTTTAATCCAAATTCATATAAATTTTGGGCTTTGTAATAATAGAACCTATTTATGTTTGATAATATTTTAAAACCATTATTATGACAAAACGTTGAGTGAGCTCCAGATTTGTAGCCACAGGTTTCTAGGGACCTTCTATTATAAATCAGCTTTGAAGTTACTGAGTACAATTTTGATTTTTGTAATTTGTGGATGCTGAGATTAGTTAATCCGGGCCATCCGTTCCATAAAAATAATATTGACAGGGCACAAACCACGAGCTTTGTGAATCAAAAATCGATTATTATGAATATTAACCTTTGAATAATAATTATATGGTAAGCAATTCAATAATAAAATAAAACAAAAAAGAGGGAATGGTTAATACTCGTAGATACATATACAAATAAATTATTTATATGTAGAAATAAATAAACAATAGGAAACTTACATAAACTGATAATATACCGCATGATTCTAATCGCCCTTATTGTTAAGATAAGCTTTCGATGGTCGACGACCCGAGTGAACCACCACCGGCCAATTAACACACACATGCACACGTAATCTTAAATTTATTTTAATAATTATTTGTGAATTATTATCGTGTATTGTAACTGAAAAGGCCGATATCTGTGTGTGTATTGTTGTAATTTCCGTGTTGTTGTGATTTAATCTTTTTCTCGTGTCAACCACCATCCGGTAACGTTATTGAATTATATAGTTTTTATCATTTTTTAGTGTGTGTGTGCTAATCGTGATTCATTATTGTTATTTTTACGTGTGCTAATCACCGTAATGTAATTGTTACTTTATTAATTTTATTATTTTATTGTAGGTCCAAATCGCCGATAATTCACCATTTATTATAATTTTATAATTATTTTATTTTTATAGTTGTACGTGAGCTAATCGCCGTCAATTTTGTGAGCGCAAATTGCCAGTTTTTACTATTTTTATTATAATTGTTCTGTGGATGCAAAACACCATTTTTATTATTATTTTGTATTGCGCAAATCGCTAATTTCGCTGTCCATTTACGAACGCAAATCGCCGTAAGTGCTCATATTTATTATTTATTTCTATATTGTTGCGGTATTTAGGTAGTTGCAGTTGGCCAGTCTGCGCTCCACCGAATTGTTAGTTTTATATATTTATTTTATTTATATTTATTTATTATTTATTTTGTTGTTGGGCCAAAACGGTCATAAGTATTTATTTTACTGTTGTATTGCTGTAAATTATTTCTATTATTTTGTGATTTTTTATTCAACTTGTACCAGCAATACATATAATTATATACCAATTTTACGTAATTCTTAATTTTAGTTACCCTTTTCCATAAATTTAAGCACACACAAGACACATACATATATACACATTCCTACACACAATACTACCACATAGCTCACTAGTATTTGTATATTTGTATATTTATGAAAAATTACAATGTATACATAATTATTATGGAAGTATAAACAAAAAACATATATTAAATAATGACATTAAGTAAATAAAAAATTACAAAACAATAAGTATATACACCATATAATACAATTTAATATAACAATAATTATAATAAAACTAATAATTTTGAACTTAACTAATTACATTCCGAATTTTCTTCGTCGTCACTGGACTCCCAATCGCTGTCATCTGGTAGGAAAGTCATAATAATTGGCTCCAACACACTATCGCTCATGATTTCTTTTTCATTGTTTTGGTCTTGTAACGCTTCAGCATGTCTTACACATTTTTCCCAATCCTGTTGAGTGACTGAATCCAACGCTTCGTTTGTCAATCGTTCAATATCGACAATTTTAAAAGTTGTATTATTTTTTGCTATTTGATATTTTACCTGGGCCCATATCAGTTCAATTAGATTATATTGGTAATGATACGGTGGAAGTCGAATTACTTCGTGCCCTATTTCCAATGCCAATTTATCTAATTCATATTTTTTTTCGAATGGTATTAAAGCTTTTACTCTCATTCTAAGTTCAGGTAGAAGTTTTAACGGTGAAAAATTATTATTTTTTTTTTTGGTTAACCAGTTCTGCACATTTGTTTTTCTTGTATTACTTTTCGGAAAATCATCGATAAGAGTTGAATGGTATGATGCATTGTCCATTACAATAACAGACGTTTCTTCAAGACTTCTTAACATAGAGGTGAACCAAGACTTGAATACATCAGAATTCATCTGGTTGTGGAAATCTGTAGAATCACCAATATTACTACGGAAAACCAATTTTGAATTCTTGATGGACCTGTATTTGGCATACCCTGCATGTAAGACAATAAGACGTTTAACTATTATAATAGTTTAATAACTATTATTGTATATACATATTTCATAGATTTAATGAGACATTTTTTTTTACAAATATATACGTAGTTCAACAATAAATTAGGTCCTACTTATGATGTTGGTGGAGTATAGAAGGGTTAGGCCTCTATTGTTTGATTTGTGTTGTCCGTGCAGGTATTGAAAGAACCGTCATTTATTATTTTTTTAAATGGTTTAAAATCGAATGGTGTACATTATTATAGTTGATTTGTGCAATATTTTGCAGTCGAATGATGCACATCATTACAATTATTTTGACTGTAATTTACCTCATGATGGAATTTTAATTCAAAAACTGTTTTACATTACACATATCTAAATACTACAGGATATGATTTTATTTATTTATTTCTATATATAATATTTATACTTTTATTATTATTACAAAGTGAAAATTAAAATTTTGTACCGTACACTATGTACTAGGTGATGCAACTATTTTGGTTTTGAAAATTTTAATTTTTCAAAGAAACTCACGTACGTTGAGTTCCTCGGAGAAAAATTTAATTTGAAAGTACTATGCACACAATTGATGAGAGTTATCCAGTATATCTATACGATCAGGCTATGTCCACTATAAATAATATATAAGTGAAAAATATATATATAATTCGAGTACCTTCCGTAGTTTATATTATACGCGTTTCAATCGATTATTTTCCCAGTTCCGGGCTTCCGATGTATTTGTTCAATATGTCTTCGTCATAATTGTTGTAAACAAAATAATATTTAACCGTATAATTCGATCGCTACATTATAGTACAGGGATGGATGACTAGCCTGTGTACTTTTTTTATCCGGTCCATTGTATATTTTCAAATCACTTCATAGTTCCGCTGTGGAAGTCGTTCGATGCGCATACGCTTCCTACACTCCCGTATAATAGCTACGATGTATTATAATTACCTATTTTTTTTCTCTTTCTTTTTTTTATTATGTGCTTTTACTCTGTATCTCTCGACTATAATAATAAATCATAAAACTTACGTTAAAATAACTTCATAACAAATATAAATTCGTTATTTTACACAGTGTATGACAAAAGTTATATAACCGTATCTGTAGAAACTCGTGACGTGCCGCGCGTCTTGGGTCCACTCGGTGACTCCGTTCAACTTAATTAACCAATTAATTATGTCGAATGCAAACGCAAACAAAAATATCAATAAGAACCTTGATATCAAACGTTAAACATGTAAATACATCTTCAAATATGAATACTAACGAAAACAATTCAAATGATGATGGTTATACCACGCAAAGAAATAAACGTTACCATTCCAGTTCTTCCAACACAGCTTCAGAACCAGCATCTCCAAATACACAAAAACAAAAACATAATAATAATAAAAGAAAAATCTTCTCCACGCCAAAATGCTCGTTTAACCTTATTGGTTAGAACTTCCCATTAGTGCAAACTCTGGACCGAGGAAAGATTAATCTGGCAAGATAATTACATTTAAATTAGTATTTTATACAACTTTTTTACCAATTTACAGTTTACTTTTACACTACAGTAAATTAATAGCTATTGGAATTTAAAAACAGCATAGTTAACAATAATTTTCAAATACCTATCAATATAATTATTTAATTATCATAATTTTGTGTAGTTGTATATTTTAAGTTCAAAGCGTAATAATGAACATACGAATATATTACACGTCTTCAATAATAAAACTATTTTTTTATTTTTTTTTTTTTTGGCCCTGTGGGGTGTGCCCCCCCCCCCCCCCTCCCCGTATGTACGCCACTGCAACCGCATAGTGCGTATGTACCCTAAGACATCTGATAAAATTTGGTTATTCTGACTTCATTACTTGACTGGTATTTTCACAAAATTAAATTAAGTAAATTTATCAACGTAAAATGACTACAGTTTTCACAACAAATGACAAAATCCGAACTTCTAAAAAAAAAAATTAAATTTTGAACGGTGTACTTTTTTCAATATAAAATACTGATAATTATTATTGTCTTGAATATAAATTCCTGATTTTCGGAGCTACGCAAATTATTTTGAGAATATAAGGGCTCCGCGAACAAAAAAATGTTGATAACCACTGAATAAAGGTACGGTTTCCCTGCAGAGTTGCAAAGGACGCGGGAGGGACATTCATTTAATTTACACACGGGCCCAAGTTAGTGTAGTTGCGACACTGGACGGAGTATTTACTCTGATGGTCAAAGTAATCAATGAGTATATGTAACATATCATTGCTCATGGTAAAAATGTAAATATAATATAATACATTATATAATATGTACACTGTACAGTTATTACAGCATTGTTAGAATAAGTTATATTTACAATGTTCATACGAAAATTATCATCGTAAGATATCTAGTTACATATAACATATTAGTATATATGTATGAGGAAAAAATAAATAGTATCATAATTAATCGAACGCAATGTGATCATTATGTTTATTTGGATTCCATTTAGATACAGTCTTTTGAAAATGATCAACCGGAAAACCGCGTGTTTCGGACGCAATATTCAAAAACAACAAAATTGTTAGCGTCGAGTAATAAGACATTTAAACGGTGAAACTAAATATTCTGCTTTAAAACTATTCAAGCATGAATAATAAAATATATTTACAATATTGGTTAAATGTCAGAAAACGTTGAGAAACTTTACTTATGAACTAAAACGTATAATAGCATTAATATTTTAATCGTATTTTCTCGACGCTTTCCAAGTGACTGTGCAAACAAAATTAAAATATAGACGAAGAAAACGTTGGTATTGTCGGTAAATGCTGCAATAACAGTTATATTATTAATGAAGCTCATGTTTATACTTTGTTTCAATAGCTAATAATGTACTTGATAGGTATTCGATCGACATCGGTAAATACTACACAGAACATATTTTGACCGTACCCAACAACGATCGTAAACAATTAAAATACCGTAATTGTTTGTATGGATTAGATGCTTATGATTAAAGCATATATAGACACCAGGAATATATATATATATATATATATACATATTTGAGTGTACCTAACGTTTATGTTTGAAATACGATATAAATTCAAATATTTTGAATGGAATGTTGAAAATAAACCGTATTATAATATCACTGGTTTCATTCAAATTCGTACTCATATAATGAAATCTAATTTCAAGTGGATTATTTTTTGAAACAATGTTGTTTATTCTGCACGTTTTCATAACTCGTCTAGCCCTGTCGTCGTATTAATTTGCATAAATATACTATACAAACAATTTGTACGTACATATATACACTACTACGTGTGTTATTGGTAAATCCCGAAATCTGGGTCTCCATGATTTGCCATTGATGACAAATCTCGAAATCCAAAAATCCAGTTAATAGTTGTCAAACGAGATTTAAACTCAAACAGCCAATCCGTAAAACAATATAAATTGTTAATTATCGAAAATAAAACAACATGCAATGTAAAACTTAAAATGTTTAATATTGAATCAATCAATTAAAAATTATTGAATTGTTTTCATTTTATCTCCCTGTCATAAATTATAATAAAATACTTAAGTAATCAATTGAATATTTGATTTTCGAGACTTTCTAGTTTCATAATATTCAGTGGCGTACAAATAGCGGAAAGAGTTTTCCGGATAAATCCCCACAGGACTGAAAAAAAACAAATAATCTCGTTTTGAATTTATTATATTGAAACATTTAACCTAACTTGGCATTTGTGAAATCTTTGATATTTTCTGTTTGTCTGTTTACAGCGCAGTGAACATTTTAAATTGAAAGTCTTAAAAACTATAATTATTGAAAATAACCTCGGCCATAATTCTGTCCCTACTATATTGCAGTCCTGTGCGAACACACGACCTGCACATGTCCCTCCGACGAATGCGCGTGTCTGTTGGTGTTCAGCGAATGTCCGGCTTTGTTGTCGGCACGCACACGTAATATTCGTGTACATTGTTATTATAATGACCGAGGCTCGAACAACATGCAACAAAGTGGTACATATATACGGTATATACCATAGTTCATGTTCACCACGATAAGATCTTAGGTGTTAGAGGGAGGGGAGCGATCGCTTCGCCCCTTAAATAACTTGTCTGGTTCGAAAAAAACTTTTCCGAACGAATCTTACTGCAGTTCACCATAAATTTATTACTATATCATGTATTGCTTATACGATTTGATAGTTTATATTTATAACTGCACAAGCTTCATGATTAAAAAATAATAAAAAACATCTAATGCACTGAATATAGTATTTACTTAAAGCAATTTAAAAAATAATAATATTTTCCTTATTAATACATATATTTCACAAAAAAATAATTAAATAGGTATGAAGTATTTCAAATTTTAAATGGTTATTAAAAAGTTAAGTATTATACACAAATTAATTAATTTCAAAAATATTTTTGACTAAAATTAACATTATTTCAATTTCAATATTTTCCCGAAATTTCCCTTTATTGACTTTACACTGACTCAAATTTAAAAATCTAAAATCGATCCGTTTTAAACATTATTGGAGTCAAATTTCGTGTTTATTAGGTATTACTGAATGATACTTTAGATACGTGTTAGTATTACTATAATTTATAATTAAAAAAAGTTAAAAAAAAAAAAAAATGACGTTGATTAAAATATTATTACGTTATTACAACGAAAGTATACAGAACACTAAAAATATGTGTGACATTTGTTAGAATTTTTGATCGATATATATTTTTATTTGTCTCATAATTTATGTCATACTTACGTTAATCATGTAGGTACAATACGTGTTCCATACTAATCAATAACAACAAATCATAGATTATTACAATAATTTAACAATAGATTATTCTAAGTGTTAGAAACACTATTTCTATAATAC